ACCAGTGAAAGGCAGCGAGGGTTTGGGCCAGGAATTTCAGAAATGAAAAGGTTGAGTCTTCCAAGCTCTTGTTTCTTGACCCTGGTGTGGCAACTAATGAGGAGAAGTCCAGGGTCACTGACGCAGATATATGTGGTTATGGCTTTTTCTAATATTTCTTGTTGCCTCATTGAGTTATTGAATTCTGTTTACTGCATGCTGTTTTTTAGTGTCCACTAATTGGATAAGGTTTTTCATCATCAGTTCTAAGGAATTCACTCACTTTCCAAGTGTTTTTATTTCATACTTTTATCTCCCCTTTCAACTCTTCATTAATTTCTTCTGTCTACTCTTGGAATACTTGTGACCAATTCATTCTTTTATTTTTCTGGTGTCTACTTATAAATATTGCAGTTTTTTTTCTTCACGTTTATTTTGAGGTTATTTTAATACATTGCATTCCATTGTATTAGGAGTTTTCTTCTTTTGATTCATGTTTTCAGGCCTGGTTCCTAGATGGAACTTTGTGCCAGGGCTACATTCTGCTCTGTACTGCAGTCTTGCCTGGAGTGGCTTATCCAGAGCCTGCCTCCCACTACAGTCCTAGAATACGATTGTACTGTATTGAGGTTATGTCTTGCTCTCATTACAATACAAATGCTGTTACTTTTATGCAGTTTGGGATGAGATGGCTGGATCTTGGTCCCATATCCCATACATAGTCCCTTGCTAAGAAACTACCCTACTCTGGGACTTGGAATTGGACCTGGAGCTGGGACCAGGTCCCTTCCACTGCTGCCATCTAGGAATTTGACTCTTCTGGTACAAACTCTTGATCAGAAGTTCAAACTGGCTTTGCCCCATTTTCTGATGTGGTTCTAACCAGAAGCTCAAACTGGATTTAAGTTCTTGTCCCTTCAAATGTTATGTCATTAGGCATCTAGCCAGGTGCATCCCTGCCCTGGGTGGAAGAACTCAGTGGTGTTTCTCTTAGTTTTGTTGAGTTTGTATTTCACATAGCACTCTTCATTGTTCCACAACCTCGATGTCATCCTTGACTCTTTACTTGTACCTACCCCACATATCCAAGTTGTTGTCAGATTTTGTCATTTCTGTCTTCACACTATTTCTTATATACATACCCTTCTCTCTGTTCACAGCTACAATCATATCTCTGGCCCTTTTCACCACTTGCCAAGACTATTATAATAGCCTTCTAGTTGATCTTCTGCTTCAAATCTCTCAACTCCCACCTATCCTCCACCCAGCTAACAGTAATTTTCTTAAAGTATAAATATGACCATATCAATCTCCTCCCCTAAATAAACAAATTTCACTGTCTCCCTGTTATTTACAGCATCAAATATAAAGTATTTTATTTGTTATATAAATCCTTTTACATGCTGGCCTATTCCTACCTTTCCAGACTTCTTACACCTTACATCCCTCCATGTACCCTATGATCCAGCTACAGTGCTCTACTTGCTATTCTTCATACCTTACGTTGTATCTACAGACTGTGGGTTTTTGCAACTGACTTAAGCATTTAATAAATATTTTTTAATTGAATAACTCTTTTTCAAGGAAGTTGAACTTGGCTAGAACCTTTCTTATTGTCATGTATGCCAGAAGGACAGTTGTTATACCATCTATAAACATTAACTTAGCTGTTACTACCCAAAATAGGAGATTTTTGTCCAGTGATCATAGAGATATTCTGGAGGAATCAAATTGTATCAATCCTGATATTCTTGCTATAAACAAAACCATAAAAAAAAAGGATGAATAACACGTTCTCCTTGGAGAGGCAAATAAAGGAGTGGGCAAAGTTGATTTTGCCATGTACCTAAAGACAACAAAAAACATTTTATGTGATCATCTCATGTTGCAGTGCTCATGATAATATTTTCATAAAGCCCACTGTGGAAATTAATGTAGTATGTACCATCTATTGCAAAAGATAAAGATGTAGAAAAATTCTTCAGAGAGCCTCAGTAAGATTCTCCAAATTAAGTTAATATGTACTTGGATACTTAGTGGCTTCAGTACAAAGATGGATAGAAATGAGGAAGGTAGAAAATGTTATATATAGTTCAAGGAAGGTAAAAAATGTTATTAAATATAGTTCAAGAATAAGTAAATGAGACAGTCCAAGGACTCGTAAACTGCACAGAAACATCTACACCTAATTAGTATTTCTTTGAGAAGAGAATTGGAAGGCTCTGGACATGGTGAGCAGCCAGTCACCTAGCATTTATTAAACATCTACTGTGTGTCAGGCCTGTGCTTATCCTTGAAGCTACAAAGAAAGGCAAAAAAAAAAAAAAAAAAAAAACAGTTGCTGCTCTCAAGGAGTTCACAGTCAAATGGGGAGATAACATTCTCACAACCATGAACAAATGATTATTTTGGATAAATTCAAGTAAATTCACAGAGGGAAAGTCCTAAGATTAAAGATAATGGGAAAAGGTTTCTTCCAGAAGGTAGGACTTTAGCGGAGACTTGAAGGAAACTAGGGAAACTGGGAGGGAGAGAGTTCTAGGCATGGGTGTTAGCCAGTGGAGTATCATGCACAATGAAAGCAAGGAAACCAGTGTCACTGGATCAAAGCATAAATGGAGGGAAGTAAAGGTATAAGACTTGAAAGATAGGAAGGAGCCAGGTTATGAGGAGTTTTAAAAGTGAAACAGAAGATTTTATATTTGATCCTGTATATAATAGGGAGCCACTGAAGTTTTTTGGATAGGAGGTGGGGAAAGGTAGGGTCATGTGGTTAGAGCTGCACTTTAGGAAGATAAATTTGAGCACAGAATAACACCACCGAAAATAAAATTGGTTGTATTTTAACAGAAAATAATTTATATTGATGATATTGTTATCATTCCTGAATCAGCTTTTTGTTTACAGTGAGATCACCAACTTGGTAGAACAGAAATCTAAATATAAGCTAGAAGAAACATTGGGGCAACTAGGTGGTACAATGAATAGAGTGCCAGGCCTGAAGTCAGGAAGACCTGAGTTCAAATATGTCCTCAGACACTTACTAGCTGTGTGACTTTGGGCAAGTCACTTAACCCTGTTTGCCTCAGTTCCTCACCTGAGAGAAGGAAATGGCAAACCACTATCTCTGCCAAGAAAACCCCATAAGGGGTCACAAAGAGTCTGACACGACTGAAACAACAAGAACAAAGATTAAAGAGACAAAAACATGATATATTTAAATAAGTTATTGACACAAAAAAAGTAGATGGAGGAAAGGATATCAAAGTTTGAAACATTCAGAAGTTCAACTAATATAAATCAGTTGTTGCAATAGACAAAAAGAGCCTAATAACCTAAACCCCTTAGTCCTCAAAATCATCATGAAGGCATTGACGGAAAGAGCTACAGGCTGACTAATAGACAAAAGATGGAAAAGGTATGCAAATGTTTTTATAACCCGTACTTTTTACTATCAAGGATTGTAAAGTCACTTATTTAAACTCTTTAACATCATAACCATGGAGTTGCTTTTATATAGGAAGTGGAAATGGTACTAAAAAAAAAACACAGATGAGAACGGTAATTGAACCATACTGAGTATATGCAAAAAAGATTTGTGCTAGAAGTGACCTGTTTTTGAGGGCATTGAATGATAGATTCTCACCATATCTAGAGAAGAAATCTGAGACCTTTTTATTATTTAAAAGTAAATGACTAATGAACATCAATCATTATTGACCTATATGCCTTTTTCCTACCTATATAATTTTTTTTATGATTTTAATATAAATATTGAGGGTATTAGAAGAGAATAGGTTTTCACAAACCATTTTCCATAGTACACAGCATCTTTACCAGTACATAATTTGCTGAAAGATATAGAGAATATAAGATTATGTTGTCTTTATGTGTTGACTATGAAAAGTCAGTTAAGTAGAGCAAAATTCCTCCTTAAGGACTCTCCAATTCGGTGTTTTCTTTTGCTTCTGTCAGATTTATATTGGATTCCTTAAAAGGTATAATAAAGGGTGTTTGCTGACCCTCCAATCAATAATAACAAGCCAAGAATAAGACAGAGAGAGATGTATGCCAACTAAAAGTTTTTATCACTGTTACAGAAGACGACTAGCACAGAGTCCAAGTTGAGGGGTTCTCTAAAAATGTTGAGGTCCATCACTTCTCCTATTTGCCATTAACATGATGTCATGTATCATGACATGTGTCATATATATACACACATATATCATTCTGTGTCATGATATGTCATAACATTGTACAAACACAAACTCAAAAATGAGATTCATAGTCACCTTCAAGAGTTTGGTCTAATTATCCAAACAGGAAAAACCAAGTACTTTTTGAAGGATGTTTGTTATCCAGATTATGGTGTGCAGTTGAACAGATAATCTGTAGAACTTATCTATAAGTGTGTTTGTATGTATATACAATGCCAAAAGCAGACAAGTGGAGCCAAGAACTGAAGAGTGGACTTTGGGAAATGGCGGAATTCTTTTAGTGACCCCAAACTTCTCTGAGACCTTATTTAAGAGAAAGAGCACTGGACTAGAAGTCCCCTTGTCAGGAATGTAGCAAGGATTCTTATTCATGTACAGGTTGGTCTAGGTGGTCTCTGAAACTCCTTGATGCTGAAACACAAAAACTGGATTATTTCTACTCCCAGTTCTGCCACTTGCTTGCTGTAGGCAAAACATTAGACTGCATTTCTTCATCTATAAAAATAAAAGGATTGGACCACAGCTATATTATCACTAAGGTACTTTCCAGCCCCAAGATACTGTCTCTGTGATCATATCCAGCTTTAAAATATGATGACCTAATGACCTCTGATGTTTTCCCCCATTGGTAAGAGTCTCACTAAAAATACTGAATTGCATTTGGATTATGGACAAATGAGTTTAGTGCCTTTTCCTCTCCATAACACTGTTAGCTTTTTGATCATTATTATAATTGTGCATGTTATGAAGTATTGAATTTCTTCACTTTGAATAAACAGTAATAAATGTTTCTTGACTTTGTAGGTGGAAGTGTCTTTGGCTTGTTAAGCAAGAACAGTCGTTTTGGCAGGAACCCAGTTGTGCTCTTGGGCATTTTTGTGCATTTTGTAGCTTTTTATTTAATTTTTCTTAACATTCCCAGTGATGCCCCAGTTGCTCCTCTTGAAGGAACTGATAGCAATGCTTATATCAGTTCAAGGTATAGTAACTATCTGGACTATGATTCTCTTTCTCAGTAACTGACTTGGGTGGAGGATAAGGTGAAACATATAGCTAAGCAAGTTACCTTGAAAATTTGTTCTGTCTACATAAAGTTAAATAAATTTGTTCTGTCTGCATAAAGTTAAATATCTGTTGGTAGAAAATTGAAATCTACAGATAATCCCAAAATTATTTCTCTAATTTGTTGACTTTGGCCTCCTCTACTACCAAGTCTTTTAGTTTAGCCAAAAGACAAAAGCTAAAGGAAAAAAGAAAAGTGAACCATAAATTAATAACAATAGTTGATATCTATGTTGTGCTTTACCCATTATCAAACACTTCACATAGATAGTTATCTCATTTGATCTTTAGAACAATCATTCAAGATACTGCCAACCTTATAATTCTCCTTTTATACAGATGAGGTAACTGTGGCTAAGATGTTAAGTGACTTGATTCACTAAGCTAATAAATGTTAGTTGGGATTTTAACCCAAGTCTTATGGTATCAAATCCAGTCTTCTGTCACCTGCACCGTAGCTGTCCCTCTGAATAGACATTGGAATTATTGAAAGTTCCTTTCAGTGGAAAATCTTTTTAACATTCTGGTGTACAGACCATAAGGTAATATCAGCCTTAAAATGCATGCTGACAAAAGATATGGAGACTTTCCCTGAAAAACAGAAATGATTCTGGAGTGGGTCATGATGAGAAGAAAGCACAGCACAGTAGATAGAAGACTATTCTTGAAGATGGGAGGATTAAAATGCTGCCTCTGACACATATTCGCTTCATGACTACTGGCAAGTCACTTAACTTCAACGTTTCAGAAAACCCTCTAAAGGTCCATTGCTGATTTGGATGTACCTTCCCCTCTCTTCCCCTCACTCTACCAAAAAAAATAGGCATCATGACTCCTAAACCCTTTCAATAGTAAAGTTTCCCAGAGTTTGCAAAGAAGTTAATACAGAATTTTATATTTTTCCAATTCCATTATTTTTCTGTTTTAGCTTTTTAGAAATTTTAAGTTTTCCACTTAGTTTGTGTGTAGTCCTTATATTGTAATACTTTTATTTTGTCTTAAAGGCCTCTAGTAAATACTCATAATTCTTATATAAAATTATTCTTTAATTTTTTTCATTCAGCAAAGAGATTGCCCTATTTTGCAGCTTTCTGTTGGGTCTTGGAGATAGCTGCTTTAACACCCAATTAATTAGTATTTTGGGTTTCCTTTATTCAGAAGATAGTGCACCTGCCTTTGCGATCTTTAAGTTTGTTCAGGTAATGTCACAGTCCTTAAAATGTATTTAAAATGGCTGCCTTTTTGCTGTATATTTGGAATTTGTGTTACCTTGTATTGGTGGATTGGTTTTTATTAAAATGGGTATTTTTTTTTTATGTCAAAGTTATCTTCTCAAAGAGTGATTAAAAGTAGGAGGTAACTAGTGTAGCTTTCATGCTTTCATTTCTGTGGGAGGGTGTGGGTATTTATACACACACATATGTTTTACATAAATGTGTGTATGTGTATGTGTATGTGTACATAAAATCTTTCCTCTGAAGAGATATTTGCATGCTTGTCTTCTAGGGCTTATAAGGAGAGCTTTCTCTTAGTTACCATAGTCCATTCTTCCAGAAAATGATATTTGTCATACTACATGTACTGTGTTTTAGTCCTCTTTTTATGTACAAAATGCAGTTTTAATAGCAAGGATCAGAGTTTATGTGAATATTAGCAGAGGTAAGCAAGAACATGTGTCATGTTGGGGAAGTAACTAGCCCTTCAGCATCTGTCAGACTGTCAGAATGGATATCATTTATATGGGAAAGGAAATGGGTCATTTATTGAAATTGTAGGAATATATTATTATCATCTGTAATTTTTTTTTTCTGTGATCTTTCAGTCCGTCTGTGCAGCAGTGGCATTTTTCTACAGCAACTACCTTCTACTTCATTGGCAACTTCTGGTCATGGTGATATTTGGCTTTTTTGGAACTCTTTCCTTCTTCACTGTGGAATGGGAAGCTGCTGATTTTGTAGCTCGAGACTCAGAGTACAGAAGCATTTGATCTCACATTTAAAGCATTTTTGTTTAAAAAACTTGGCAGAGTGGGAAGAAATTCAAGGTCTCAGAAGTTTGAATGAAGGAACTCCTGTCAGCTTAAACAGTATAATGGATGGCATCAATCATTGTGGAAAAAAAGACTCTCAGCCAAAGTTGGTCAAGTTTACAGACATAGGATATTTAAAGGTTGCAATAATGAGACATTTTTTGAACCATTTTTGTTGGATAAATTCTGTTTCTTATAATTGTGTTATTGTTCCTCTCCTATTCTTAGCTATTGAACATGTATCTTTTAAAGATTCCTGCTGTGCATGGAGTATGTTTTATTATTATACAGTATTGAAAAATAGCTATAACACAGGACCATGTGTCTGTGAGAATTAAATTTAAAGTTTTAGGAGCAGGCTCAAATGGAAATCTCAGCTTTCAAAAGGTTTATACTTTAACTTCTATTAAACATGTTGCTCACTAATCCCTTTTTCAAATTACAGTTTGTAGTAGAGGCTGAGTTTTAAAAATCAAAGCAAAGGAAAATTATTACCAAGTTATAGATTGTAAGGAGGCTTTAAAAAAGCAGTAAACTAAGTGATATAATGAACAAAAACATAGCAACTATGTTAGACTCTTGCCTGTAGTTCTCCTGGAAGATATTATACAAAATGTCCATTATGTGCTCGTAACGTTTGCACTCTAGTCCTGGATTGCCATGGTCAATGAGAAAAAGAAGTTTTTCAAAATTATTCCTTATTTTCTTCAATTAAAATGCTAGAGATATCTATAGATCTTTGAGAGAGAAATTTAAATATTGAGGGAGGTACTCAAGTGGAAATCTTGACTATCTCCCTGTATTTATTTTTAAATAGAATATTTAATGTTCAGATTGAGAATTTTTATTATAAAGTTGTCAGCCACAGTCTGAAAGGCAGAAGGGAAAGAAAGCCTGCATTTGATTAGAATTTAAAATTCAGCAAATATTTTAATGTATGTACTATGTTTAAGGTACTACTAAACACTAGAATCAGGAAAATTGATTTAAAAGTACTGAATTAGCCGTTTTCTGCCATATTAATAAGGTTGTAAAAGTCTCTATGATATCTTATTGACTTAGGTTAAGTACAATTAGTAACCATAAAGGATATTAATAATTGTTAAGTGCAGTTTCAGAAGTAGCATGAAATAAGATATACTGAACCATGTTTTATTTACCTAGGTCTTAAAGTTGTCTATGGTTAAGATGAAAAATTCCTCCAATATATTTCCTCAGGCCACTTAGTGTCCCAATCTCCTCCCTTGTCCCTTTGTTTGCAATGGTTTTTCACAGCTGTAGAATAAAAATGCTAAGAAGCTCCTGAGCATTGTAATTTAGGGGGATATAATTCAACCCAAATACTGTAGTATTTATCAGCTGTAGATTGCTAGTAGTGTTGTCAAGAAGGGAATGAAAGTGAATAACTCAATTGATTAGAAACTTAAGTTTTCCCTGACTGCCACTGATTTGCTTTGTGCTGAATAACTCACTTTAAATTTTGTACTCAGTTTTCACATCTATAAATGGGGATAGCGACCTTACAGATTTGCACAAGGGATCTTTGGATGAGAGATGGGGAGTACTACTATTTAAATTTCAGAAAAATATGGGGCAAGGTTAATAAAGTATTGACAAAGCTTTTCACTGTGTAGCTTTATAGAATCAGTCTCATCATAGTCTCATTCAGAGATGCAGAGATGCTATGATTTGATCTTCCCATAATATTTTTGTGAGCACCATGTGACTTCATTTTAACATTTCAAATTTAATATATTATGTGTATATTAAAAATTTTATTGACATTTTGGGTGTCTTTCTTACCATACCCAAAAGTATGGGAAATTTTCAATCTTAGCTTTGAAGCTTCTTAGCACATTTTCTTTCTCTGGGTACTAATAAAGGATAGATATCTTACTTTCTTAATTTTTAGAATGCAAATCAGTTGCTAACAGATGGGTATAACATTTAGGTAGTAAAATTGCCTGAGAAAGAACTAGCCTTGTCACTTGTTTTCATCATTAGTGGTGTTCCTTAGGGTAATGTAGATTGAAAAGTCTTGTAACAAAAGCAGTTCTGGACTTAATCTTGAAACATTCAGAATTGCCAAACAGTCTGTTAACTGTTTTCTCCAGACCTTAATACCTGGTGCTGGTCTGCTGTGACTTAAGGAACCATATATGAGCTTTTTCTAGATCAAGGGTTGTTAAACTAGAGATTATCTGCACTTGAGCTTTTTTTTTTTTTTAATTCTGATAACTATTTCAATGTAATGAGTTTCCTTTGTAATTCTATGTATTTTATTTTATGCATTGAAAAACATTCTGAGAAAGGATCCATAGACTTCACCAGACTGCCAAAGGGTTCCATGACACAAAAAAAGAAGTTTAAGAAAACCCTTCTACTAGATGAATAAATGGACTCAGGGTTAGGGATAGTTTAGAAAATATTGCTGAGTGAACATCTCCTAATTTTTCAAAATTCTGCAGTATTCTTTTTCCCTTCCTTCTAATGTCAGTCTTATATTTGTATTGATACATGATTCCAAGAAAAGTTTTTCAATCAGATTTTATGGAAAAGTCTATCATACAATTCAAATTATAATGTTGAAGAAGGAATTGTTTTCCCAATATGAAAGAAAATTATTTACATACATAAATTATACAGTAATGATAAATATACTAGAGGTCCTTGGTAAGTAATCACCTGTGAAAAGGTTGTGAATATTGATCCTTAAGGATTCATTATTATTATTGGTTTAGCGTTAGAATTACTTTATTTTACATCTTAAAAAAATCTTTGAGGTTTGAGGAGACCTTTTTGTTGACGTATTAATGAAGACAAGGATTGCTAATAAAAGGATATATTAAGAAAAAGTAAATATTTTTCTATATTTCTTTTTGGTGAGTAAATTATTTAAATAAAGAAGAGAACAGCAAATGTTCAGCTGGTTTTTTGAGTTAAAATTGTCAAATCGAAGGAAGCTGTTCCTGGCTTCTTGTCTGGCTTTTCTCCTGCAGGTAGGTGGGATTGAAAGCTATACTGTCAGTATTTCTGTAGGGAATGACTTGTTTCACCTTTCAAAGTTTGCTTTGGGAACTAAACTGCCTCAGGTCACTTTCACTTATAAGTCGCTTAGGCATATCCTGTCACTTGCAGAATGGATTGGATTTTAGTGGAAATAGACTGTTTCCTTTCTGTGAAGATTCGCCCAGCTCTCATTTTATTCCTTCCTGATCACAGTTGCAACCACAAACTAGTTAAAGGTGAATAGTATATGGCCTAATGCAGAGCATCTATGTCCTATTTAAGTTGAATAGCTCTGACATTGCTTAATATTTATTGAACACTTTTAGTATGTTAGTTGCTCTGCAAAATACATGAATAATGGGTGTGTACACGATGTTATCCCTGTCTTCATAGAGCTTAACTTGTAAGAATATTTATCTTGGGGGCAGCAAAGTGGCACAGTGAATAGAGGTCTGGCCTTGGAGTCAGGAGATCCTGAGTTCAAATCCAGCCTCAGACACTTGACACTTAACTAGGTATGTGACCCTGGGCAGGTCACTTAACCCTGATTGCCTTACCAAAAGCAAAAAAAAAAAAGAATATTTGTCTTCCTATTTTCAGACTCCACATTATTGCCCTATTCATTCAGCTAGTTTCCTAATTACTTGGGAAAGAGATGATGATGTATTTTGTTTGATATTCAAAGAAATTTGTTTTTGAATTGGGGGGGTGTGCTAACATTGTACCAGTTGTACATTGGAAAGAGGGTCTGAAGATCTGTGTTTAAATCTTGGTTCTTATTACCTGTGTGACTTTGGAGAAATCACAACCACTCTGGCTTTTAACTTTTTTATCTGTAAAATGAGGGAAATTGACTAGATGACCTCTAAGATCACTTAGTGGCTTTCAGGAAAAAAAAAAATAACATTCTAGTTTGAAGAGGTGTAATGGTGCTAACTTAATTTAAAAATTTTCTTAATTCTGATCTTAAATACCAAAAAAATAACATTTCTATGCATAGCAGCAAACACACACACACATACACACACACACAATTCTTTATGAAACCATGAATCTCCGTTTCATACTGCTTACTTTTTTTAAAAGTATATAATGAATTTTACATGTATTTTCAAAACTGTCTCCTTGTTTGTCTTTGTTTCCCCCTTAACTTTCTTCTGTTCTCAGCCGTGCATATTAAAAAATGTTACTTTCAAAATGGTGCTGCTTGTCTGTGCTCTTCTAACTTCCTTTGATTTTTTTCTGTACAGTTTTCAAGTGTTTCAATAGTCTCCTTTCTTTTTTGACATACCGATTGTTAACTGTCCCACTCCCACCCTGCCACCCCAATTATAAATAAGTAAAATCTAGCAAAAGGAATCTACCCAATGCCGATGTATAAAAATGCATGCCTCTGAACTTTGTGTCCTTATTTCTCTCTCAGGAAGTGGCTAATGTGTACTTCTAGGTCCTCTGGCTATGTAGTTGGTCATTGCATTGATTAGATTTAAGTTTTTCTAGGATATTTTTCTTTATAATGTTGCTGTTGTGTAAACTGCTCTGATTCTGCCTCCACTTTTTGTGTCAGTTCATACTACCCTGAATTTTCTGAAATAATTTTGTCATTTTTTGCAGTGTAGAAAAACCCCTTTACATTCACATACCAAAATTGTTCCTCCAGTTCCTCAATTGTCTGAGACAATCTAAAGCACCACCTTAGAGTCTAGTTCTTTTTTTCCCCTTTAAATTCCTCACTTTATGATTGGGAAGTTTGGTTTGCTTGTAACTATTCCTATTCTGGTATTATCCTCCTTAACATCAGAGTTTTTAAGTGCATTTCAATGTCAATGAGTGATTTGAAGCATTTTTCATATGGTTGTTGGTAGTTTTTTTTTCTGTTGAAAACTTGTCCTTTCACCATTTATTGGGAAAATGCTCTTATACTCTTGTGTCAATTTACTTAATATAGCTTGAACATCAGAGTTGTATTACAAAAACATGATTTAAAGATTTTTTCCTGGTTAACTCTTTCCTTTCTAATTCAGTTGCCTTCATTTTGTGAAAAATGAAAAAATATTTTTTTAAAAAAATTTTTGTTCTTTTTTTATTAATTTATTTTGATTTATCAACAATCACTTATGCTTTTGAGTTTAAAATTTTTCTCCCCCTTCCTCCCCACCACCCTTCTCAAGACAGTGCACAATCTGATGTAGGCTATACATATACATTCCTATTAAACATTTTAACATTAGTGATGTTATAAGTAAGAATTAGATCCAATAGGAGGAACCCCCATAAAGAGGAAACAATTCAACAGAAGATAAAAAAAAATAGCAAATAGTATGCTTCAATCTGCTTTCAAAGTCCATAGTTCTTTCTTTGGATATGGATAGCAAAATGAAAAAATATTAAGTGCTTACTATGTGTCAAACATTGCTAATGCTGGGGATATAAATATAAAAGCAAAGACAGGCCCTGTCCTCCAAGAGCTTACATTATAATAGGAGAAATGCCATACATAAAGCAGTGGTAACTAGTATGGGGCATTTTGGTCCAGAAAGTTAGAGATAGAGAATGGAGCCATGGGGGAGTAGATTTATGCAGCCCTTCAAAGAGCAATGTCAGAAGTGATTTGATCATGGTTCCAGTTCTGGTTATGGGCGTGTTGAGAGATAGGGGTGGGTATGACAACCGTAGTTAGAAAATGTTGGGGAGAATTGAATAAAGTATTTTTGCTTGATTTTGTTGTGTGCAGTTCTTTCCATTTTTACATTATTGTGTAACTTTATCGTATTCTTGGCTCTGCATTAGTTCATGTATTTCTTTTCATGTTTCTCTATATTTATCACATTCATCATTTCTTACAACGTAGTAATACTCCATTACATTAATGTATCGCAATTTACTTAGCCATTCCCCAATCAGTAGGCATCTACTTTGATTCCAATTCTTTACTATCACAAATAGTACTGTTATAATTATTTTTGTGTATGGGGACTTTCTTATCAGTGGCTTCTTTGGAGTATACAAGTAATAAGAATCCCTGAGTCAAAGGGTATGGAGAGTTTAATCACTTCATTTGCATAATTCAAATTTTTTTTAAATAAATAGTTCAACCCAAAGACCCCAGCTTCTGGGATAAGAACTCACTATTTGACAAAAACTGCTGGGAAAACTGGAAAAGAGCATGACAGAAACTAGGCATAGACCAAAATCTTATACCACATACCAAAATAAAGTCGAAATGGGTTCATGATTTAGTTATAAAGGCTGATAAACTATAAGCAAACTGGGAGAGCAAGGAATAGTTCGCCCATCAGATTTGTGGGAAAAAGAAGAATTTATAACCAAACAGGAGATAGAAAACATTATGAAAGGCAAAATGGATAATTTTGATTATATCAAATTGAAAAGTTTTTGCACAAACAAAGCCAATGCAACCAAGATTAGGAGGGAAGCAGAAAACTTGGAAAGAATTTTTACAACCAGTATCTCTGGTAAGTGCCTCATTTCTAAAATTGAGAACTGAGTCAAGTTTATGAAAAATACAAGTCATTTCCCAATCAAAGGATATGAACAGGCATTTTTCAGATGATGAAATTAAAGCCATCTATTGTCATATAAAAAATGCTCTAAATCACTATTGATTAGAGAAATGCAAATCAAAACAACTCTGAGGTACCACATCACACATGTCAGATTGACTAACATGACAAAACAGGAAAATGATAAATGCTGGAAATGTGGGAAAATTGGAACACTAATGCATTTTTGGTGGAGTTGTGAAATGATCCAA